ACGCATGCGCAAACAAGTCGGTCTGCAGGGTGACCTTCAGTGTACCGGAAATCATGCAACGGGTCGGAGTTTTAGCGAGTTTTCATAATTTTTAATGTCGTTTTTAGATTACTTCTTGTTTTTTTCAACCTTCGAAAAAATAAGGTTGCGAAAGTTTGCGAAACATGGGGTTTGGTGAGCTGTTTGTTGTTGAGATATCCCGACTAATTCCGTGTTTCCCTTCGATCGCCAGAAGTGGCAATGTGTTTTTTTTTCCCGTTGAATGTCGATCATTTATCAGTGTTTTTGTCTTGGCGCCATTGTTTTTTTATGCTATAACCGGAACAACTCGGTCACGTGATCTCCCGGAGTCGTCCGATTGACTCCGAAAATGACCGATAGTCGGAGATAAACGTTCATTTGCGTAAATCGGCTTATTTTTTAATGCGACAAAATAAACAGTCAAAATAAACATTCGACATCGCGGCAACTATCATAGTTCAAAGGAAACGAAGTGGTTGTTCTTCCTGGGGTTTATAGTTCCATGATAATACATAGCCCATACTGTACAGAAGTGACATGCTTTTACTGATACCATGCCCGAATTTGTACATGCATCGTTATTCTTGCAAAAAACAGCATTGTTAATATTTAGTGTTGGTAACTGTAACCTGACACGTACATATAATTTATGAAACTATTGATTTGTAATAAACATAGAAGACTGGTTGAAAAATTGACAAGCTGGGTCATCTTATATAGTAATTTTTAATTAATATTCAAGATAGTCACTACAGCAAGGTCACCTATATATAAAACAAATCAGAGTGCAGCAAATCGGGGTTGATCTTCCCGACGAACGCTGTGACTTGTTTTGTCACATTGTTGCCATTGCGTGCAATGGGCAAATTATTGCTATTCTAGTTAATTTTTTTTTTATTTGGAGGCTCTGCACCTTTGAAAGACTTCCGTTTTTATCACTCTCTTTGTATGGCTAACAAAAGCGGGATTACCTTTCGATCAATACATGTTATTGTTTTAAATACGTGCAAGACGAGACTGACACTTGTAAACAAAAACATAAGCATCACGGGCGAGTGACCAATCGTCACGGACAAAGGGCAACTTTCAATCATGGCCGAGTGTCCAAGCGTCACGGTACCGTGTCGCTTCAGAGGCGTGGGGAGAACACTGAATCCAGTGACGAAAATCAGAGATTGTAGCCAATGGAATGCAAAATAGTATTTAGAAATAATATTCTTACATCTAGAACTGAAAACAATAGAATTTTCTGTTGTAAAAAGCCTTATATGAGGTAAACTACGTCATCAACAACGAATGTTATAGCACATGGCGAGAATAGAATGCTGTTACTGAATGCAAACGTTTGTACAAAATGTTTTCGCTGTCCCTTTGGCCTATAATCTCTCATTAAACTATTATTGAAAGCAGAAAAATGAATTTAAAATAATACGACTATCACAAGAATACTGCAAAGTATGAACTCTGGCAGTACAGGGTCACATCGACCTTCCACTACATATATGTTTTGGTCTATATGATCGCTGTACTGCTTTTGTGTACACTTTGGAATATAATTTTATTTGCATTTTTTCTAAACGATTTAGAAATGGCTTTGAATAAAGCACCATTTAATGGGGTTGAATTGGATGATTATCCACTAACATGTCTTATGTATGCTGACGACACCGTTAT